AATAAAGGCGTATAACGATGCTGAAATTATAAAATTATGAACTTATAAATGCACGAAATTATGAAAGTCTGTATTTTTTCATTTGTACCATGCGTATGAAAATCATTTAAACAAGATCTTCTGAGATCAATTAAAACTGTCTGCGTGACAGGAAGCCATGAATAATTTACTGACAATTTCCAGCATTAATGTGTTTTTATACCAATCATCCACCAACTTCTCTAAACAAACGAAACCCTTTAATTTACTAAATTTCAAAACATATAACGCTTCGCAAAAAAATTAAAAGTAACGAAAGATTTGTGGTTTAGAACAGTCGGACTGCGATTTTAATTTGGCAAGTCGTAGCTTATGTTAGTTTATTCACATATGTAGCTTCTTTAGATAACTCTCAGTTTTCAGTGCATGGACTTGATTTTATAAAAAGAATATGTAAGGGACACGAAATCAGTGTTTCTACTTTATTTGTCAAAAACGGTTCTTCAAACAGGTGTGATTTTCCCCCATGTGGTAAGTGTAAATCATCCACAAAAACGATCAGTGAACTTTTAGAAGTTTGATGTTATTGTTATTGTTGTTCTTGCTTTTTTGTTATGATCTATATTTTCTATAATGAGCTTTATAAATTGGAAAAAATCCGGGGAAAGAACCCGCCAGTACATAATTTAAAAGGTATAATTTAACATTAGCGTTTGTGTTGGAGGGCATACTGAAAAATGTTTTGGACCCAACTCAGAGTCATTTTATCCCGAGCTGCTAGGCGAGGATTAAAATAAGCTGTGAGAAGGGCCTAAAACATATTTATGCCCAAGAAAATAAACTGTTATTATCATTATCGCTTTAAAAGCCAAAAATGAAAAATGACGACAAGTTTGAACAAATAAAGCGAGCGCACGAGCTAAAATATCCTTTAGCCTGCCAAAAGCTCAACTTTAGCCCGCAAAACACGATGCACCAAAATGCTCAACGAAGCTAACAGTGGACAACTGATTTCCTTGCCCGCTTATCGCAGAGATACTTTTATATGATCTTAAATTGAATAAAAAGCATTCGAATGGAAACAAAATAAAGTAGAATTGCTCGAAGGTCTATCTTCTTTAGGTAGAAACTGTGAGAACTTGACACTGAATTTGTCTTGAAGACTTTTAATGGCAAACCATTGCTAACCTGCAATTATCTGTATTACCTAAAACAACCGATAATAGCAATCTTTTTCTATAGCAGTAAAATGGTACACTTTACTAAGTACTATATCTTCGATATATACTCGAACAGTCTAGACAAAAGTATTCCACGCATAAAAACAAAAGAAAATACTACTGGACTTTAAACTCCGAGTTTTTTTTTTATTGGATCCATACTTCAAGACCTCTCAGTACGTGCTAAAAGCTGTAAGAACAAACAGAAAATTAAAATTAGTTTGAGCGAAATATAATACGTCACATACTATTCCACTAGATGTCTATGGACATGAATTTAATTATGAAAAACTTATCATTACTTGTAAGAAATAGAGATCCACATGGCCAGAATAAGGTTGGAAACCGCAGCGACCACTGAAAATGAATGAATAAAGAAAGAAAATGGTTAATACATAAACAAATGAATAATAAAAATAGTGATACCTCTTTTTTTACATTATATATTTGCTGCACTGTCACATAGTTTTGCTATAGGTAGGAATGAAAAACAAAAGATCTAGTTATTTTTTTCTCCATTTTGTTTCCTCCTCTAGTTAATAAAGTGTAATAAAAAAGAAATAAAAAGGTTGCTGATGTAACTAACGTAACATTCAATGAATAATGGTAATACGATCGAGTGTAGTCTAGTTCTGTCTGTAATCATGCGAGTGATTAACAAAATCGGGTGACCGCGAAGCGGGAGTCCGATTTGTCAATCACTAGTATGATTACTGACAGAATTTGACGACAAGAAGTCCTGTTACCGATTAATCATGATTAGTACAATTTCCTCCTCAAAGAAAAACAAATGCATTTTGGACAAACATCTCCGGTAGAGATAGTGTTTAAAGTAAAAAATTCCTCCATTTTGGAAATTCCTCAGTTTTTTTTTAGGATAAGTGATTGTTGCTATGGTTAATGTAATCAATTCTGTGATTTGTGAATTTTGAGTGTGATTGGCTGTTTCAACTGTCCGATCACAGGTGTCCGATTACAGCCAACTGTCCAATTACAACTGTACGGAATGATTAGTGAAGAATAAAGCAGCAAATGCACCAATCACATTTGGGGAAATTGTAATGGTTATGATTAGTATTGTAAGTAGTATCTTATTGTTAGTGCTGTAGATAGATTCGTAGCTATTTGTTTCCATACAATGGGCTGATGAAAAATAAAACAAAAAGTATATTTTCATGCCAGTGCCAGTCAGTTCCTTAGGAACCATACAACAGAAATCGAATTGCCACAACATTTAATTTACAAAGATTTAATCGAAGTTATGGTCGTTAATGCAGAATAAGTGATGTTTTCCTTGATGCGGTTAGAGATCCTTAAATTTTTACAGAATTTTATCCGTTCCTACCCTGAGCTGAGGCTGAGGAGGAGCAATACTTCGCACAATCCATGGATTCTTTAGACTTGTTCTTTTGTCCCCGACAGCTGTGCTCTTTCTCCTCACATACGCTTTCAATCATAAATGGTCCACCTCCTCCGTCACACTTTTTGCACTCGCCATCCTTAGCTTTCCATTCTGAGAAAGTAACTCCTAAAAAACACATTAATAGATAAATTTAACTATTACTAAAAAGCTACAAAATAGGGTTTTACTGCATCACGGACAAATTTTCTGTGGACAAATGCGAGGCGAGCATCGTCGAATGAAAATTATGATGTGACGACGCAGATGTACATACATCAAGTAAAGTTTTATAGTATAATTGCTCCAGTGGTTAAAGAGATGCGCGACCTCT